TGGAGGTGATTTAAAAATTTTAGATTCATAAATAGATTCATAACAAAACAAAACAATTTTTGTAACTTAGTCTTAAAGTCTTAAGGAAAACTGGATTAAAAATGTACTTTGGCCAAAAGGCCAAAATATGCTTCACATCACTAATTATCAGGGAAATGTAAATCAAAACCACAATCAGGTATTGACCTCATACCACTGGGAATGGCCACTACCCAAAAGCTAAGAAATAACAAGTGTTGGTGAGGATGTGAAGAAAAGGAACCCTCCTACACTGATGGTGGGAATGTAAATTGGTGCATCCACTGTGGAAAGCAGTATGGAGTTTCCTCAAAAAACTAAAAATAGAGATACCATATGACCCAGTAACATAAAAAACTAAAAATATAGATACCATATGATACTTCTAGGAATTTACCCCCCAAAAACCCAAAACTCCTGATTCAAAAAGATATATGTACCTGTTTATTGCCACATTATTTACAATAGCCAAGAAATGGAAGGAACCAAAATGTCTATTAATAGATAAATTGGTAAAAAAGATATGGTACATATATACAATGGAGTATTATTTAGCCACAAAAAAGAAAGAACAACATGGATGGAGCTAGAGGGTATTATGCTAAGTGAATAAGTCAGGAGGAGAAAGACAAATACCATATGATTTCACTTATTTGTGGAATCTAAAAACAAAACAAAACAAAACAAAATGAACAAAATAGCAGTAGACTTACAGACATTGAGAAGTGACTAGTGGTTACCATGGGGGAGGGGTTGGAGTGGGAGGAAGGGCAAGGGGGATAAAATGGCACAAAAATTCTCAATCATAATAGAAGCTGGTCACATGTATAGTAGTACAGCATGGAGAATATAACCAAGGATTCTATAACATCTTTCTATGTTGACAAATAGTAACCATAACCACACTAGAGGGGGTGAGGATTTAATAATACAAATAACTGTTGAACCACTGTGTTGTATTCTTGAAACCAATATAAGATTGTATATATCAAGTGTATTTCAAATTTTTAAAAATTGCTACTTTATAAATTGGCTATTAATTTTTTAAATGCAAGTATCAAAAACAGTATTTTCTGTATGTAAATGTCGTACGTGGACATCAAAAAGCTCACACTGGCAAAATATATTTAGTGTTCAGCCAAATTCTCTAACCACAGTATCTATTACCTCCCCGTAACCCTTGGTTATACATGGCCTCCTCTCTATAAGACAGAATAATCTTCTTGATGATGGTGATGATTTAAGTCAATGACCTTTTTTTTTTTGGCCAAACAACAGACATTTATTTCTTAAAGTTCTGAAGGCTGGAAGTCCAAGATCAGGGTGCCAGCATGGTCTGATCTTGGTAAGAAATCTCTTCTTCGCTTTTGGATTGGCTGCCTTCTTGCTGTGTCCTTCTTACTATGTCTTCACATGGCAGTGAGGGTGGAGGAGGGAGAGGGACAGGGAGAAAACTTTTTCTTCTTATAAGGTCACAGTCCTATCGGATTGGGGCCCTACCCTTATGAGTTCAGGTAACCTTAATTACCTCCTAAACAGCCTATATCCAGGTACAGTCATGTTAGAAGTTAGTGCTTCAACATATGAATTGGCGGGAGGTGGGGGAATACAATTTGGTCCATAGCAGTAGTAGAATGAGTGGATTGGATTATTTCAGCCTAATATCTCAATGACCCTTTGCTGTAAGTGACTTAAGAACAAAATAATGAAAGGGAAATTAATTAAAACAGAATGTCCACGAGGTAGACAAAATGAGAACAGTTTTGCAATGTGAATGACCAGTATATTGTTTTTAATATTTTCTTTTAATTGTAAAAAATATTTGTTTTAGAGACAGAGTTTTCCAGCTGGTATTTCTTGTGTGTTAAATTTCCAGATTCACTCTGATCATCCTTGAAGATAAAACAAGGGATATTCAATAGTAAAGTGAACTTAGAGCTTAAAACCTTTCAATTCTCAAGTAAGAAGTCTAGAGTCTAAGGTCAAATTCTGTGCTGTCATGTACCCAAACAGAATTCATAAGGGGACACCCTTATTCTTTGATATTTACACAGTATTGGAATTAAAAGGGAAAAGGAGAAGCAAAGGTTAGCCTGTTTTTTCTGACATATTATGCTTCAATATTCTGTGATGATTCTCAACATTTAAAAAATAAGAAAAGGATCTGAGTTTTCAGGAAAAGGAGGAAGGGAATATTACTAACTTTGCAAAATCTATTAACTCTCTAAGAGAAACAGCTGTGTGGAAAGTTAACCCAAAATGCAAAGCCTCTCTACATGTATATTTCCTCTAAATAATTTTGTTCAGCAGTAACAGAGATTAAATTTTTTGAGGATTAAATATTTGCCAGGAATTTTACAGATAGTATCTCACTTAACCCTTATTATACTATTAGGCTTTCATTAATTTATTTATTGAGCATCCATCTGGCTGGGCACCCAGCTAGCTATGCGCTGAGAATTCAGTAGTGAGCATTATCTACCTAGGTCAATCTCAAGAAGTTAGCCTAGTAATTATAATACTATGCTCTTCTTCATAGGAGGAAATAAGAGGATAGGCTCTGAGAGGTTAATTTGCTCGTGCAAGGTCACACAGTGTTGAGTAGCTACACTAAGGTATCTAATTTTAAATCTTTACCTTCAATCATTAAACTTTTAATAGATTTTTATAATATTTTTGCTTGTACGTCATCTTTCTAATTTTCTTTCACATATTTTTATCTTGGAGAAAAAAGCCTTATAGTAAATAGTCTTGTTGCCAGGCAACTGCATCTGGGGAGGTCTCTCCCTGTGCACTAGGCAAAGCACTAGGAGAAACCTCAACCTGTGCAGGGGAGGGTTCTTGATTCTGAAGAAAGAGAATTCTCAAGTACGTCAGAAGAGCGTAGGTAAAGATGGAATTCGTTAGAGCAAGAGCAGCAGGGAATGGCAGCTGCCTTGCAGGCAGCAGAAAACAGGAAAGGACAGAGGGAGAGAGAGAAAGTTCTCTGCCTACGGCAGATTCCCTTACCAACTCCTGAACCCAGGGTTATTTGTCATCCTTTGTTTGGATCTGCACAGCATGGGGACTAGCCCATACCACTCCAGGATTTGGGGGAACTACAGAGCACAGGATGGAGTGAGATTATGTTCCGAGAACTCCCCAAAGAAAGGAGATTCTCACGTGGGCTACTAAGAGTGTATTACATACACAGCTGCAGTTTCATCCAGGTCACTGGGGCGATGGAAACATGCAGGTCCAAATTTGAGCTCTTAGCAGCCCGTTCCTACTTATTGGGAGTAAAGTGGAGACAGAGAAGACTTGGAAATAAAGTGAAATAGCAAAAGACAAACCGCAATAAATTGAGCAGTGAGAAAGCTTTATTTGGAAGTATGCACTTAAGAAAGGAAAGTGCGGGCATCCTCAGAATGGAAGCGTGCTGAAAGTTTGGGGGTTCTGTCTTCTAAGGCTTTCAAGAATGGGGAAAAGGGTGATGGGGTGGGTGTTGGGTATAGGCTTGAATTGTGGTCTCAAAATGCTTATCTCTGGTGAGAGACACCATGTCTCCTTTCCTTTATTATCAGTCCACCAGCTAATTCTGCTAAATAAACCCAATACAAGGAATTTATTTATACTGTTCTCCAAGATAGTGGTTACTCTCAAGTAGTAGGGCCGTATCAGTTAAGACTGCTTGCCCTGCCTTAAAATAGACTGTTGGGTTATTGTCTGATTACCAGAGAATGTTAGGAATCTTACTTCTCAACTCTGCTTTTTAAAATGGAATTTTAGCCTTAAGATGGAGTCCATTCTCTTCTTACCATACTGTTTACATCTCAGCACTTTTCATCATAGGCAGGAAAAGTTAATCGTGATGCTTGCCCCATGTCCCTGCTCCACCTCAATCTCTCTGCTCCCCCTTCTTTTTCAGTGTTGGCAAATGGTGATTTTATGCTCCAGGGCGAGAAGCCAAATCCCAGAGAAATGGGGGACATGTTTGCAGAAACGAAAAACCCCACAACAGGCCAGACTAAATTCAGGAGGCACAAAGCTGATCCACTGTCAAGGAAAGTAGTTTCATATTTCACTTTCTTTTTGCCTTTCTCCACTACTTCCAAGGGTGTTTTGAAACTCGACAATGGAAGCAGCATTCCCTCCACTGACTCCTAATGGCCAGGATATCTAATTTTCGTTCTATACCCTATCACCCTACCCCGGAACAAGCTCTTCCCGCGAACTCTTACATACTTTTCACTTTGTTTTCGTCGTTGGCTGGATAAGCTATACATGACCAGTTTCGTTTTATTCTACCGCCATAAGGTCTAGGTTGCCTTACAGCGACCTTGACAGAAATCTGGATAGAAGGCCCAGGGGAGGGGAGCGGCCAATTTGGAGGGAGAAACCACCAGACAACCGTGAGGACGCGCCACGAGGAGGTGGCAACCACTGAGCTCCACTCAGCGTAGTGCCTTTGAAAAGACTGACAGGAAGTGTACCAACTGTCTTTGCTCTAGACACTTATGTGGTCTCGCGAGATAGGACGCCGTTCTGGCACCTCCCTGAGTGGGGGATGGGAATATCTGTGGCGCAATCATTGCGCGAGATTGGGCCATGGTCGCGGGGGCCATGATTAGATCTCGCGATATTTCAGCTTCTCCAGTTTGGAACTAGGGGCAGCTCTCGCGAGAGCCCGTGCTAAGGGCTCTGTGAGGCCCCGTGTGTTTGTGTGTGTGTGATGACAGGAAGTGTACCAACTGTCTTTGCTCTAGACACTTATGTGGTCTCGCGAGATAGGACGCCGTTCTGGCACCTCCCTGAGTGGGGGATGGGAATATCTGTGGCGCAATCATTGCGCGAGATTGGGCCATGGTCGCGGGGGCCATGATTAGATCTCGCGATATTTCAGCTTCTCCAGTTTGGAACTAGGGGCAGCTCTCGCGAGAGCCCGTGCTAAGGGCTCTGTGAGGCCCCGTGTGTTTGTGTGTGTGTGGTGTATGTGTCTGTGTGTGTGTGTGTGTGTGTGTTGGTGACTGTGAGTACGGGGAAGCCGCGGCCGCCATTTCAGAGAGCTTGCCGACGCTGTCGCAGGGGTGGATCCTGAGCTGCCGAAGCCGTCGTCCTGCAAGCCAACGTGGGCTCTTCTAATCCAGTTGTTTCTTTTAGATTCGCTCGGGTCTATCCGCCCTAGGAGCCCGAAATTCGGGCTAGGCGGTACCGCGGCCTGGGCCTAGCGGCTTAACTGAAGCAGCAGCGGCGGCAGCCCATCCCCCCCACCGTTCCGAGTACAAGCTCCGCAGGGCCCCGAAAGCCCGCTGAGGTAAGGAGAAGTGGTGGACTTGGGCATTGTCAGAGCTGCTTTGAGGTTTGGTTTTCTGGGTTGAGGGGCACTCCTTAGGCTGTCTTAAGCGACAGGGTGGAGAGTTTTCGAGAAATTGTCCCCTTTTTGGCGACCGCGCCCTTTTCTAGGCTGGTAGATTCCAGAGTTTTGGGGTGGCATTGGATCCCAGAGGCGCCTCAGGCAGATGGCGACCTGTCCCTTGGAGGCCTGAGCCGTCCGCGACCTCCCAACATGGCGCCAGCCGAACGCTGCCATGGCACACAACCCCTCCCAACCGAGGGAGTTTCCCTTTGCCCCTAAAATGGCAGTGCGTGTTTTGCGCGCAAAGAGGCGCATTCACTTGAGGCTCCCGGGTTCTGTTTTTAGAGTTCACTGTGGGCTGTTTATTTTCATGTGTTTGGTCTTGGGGGCATTTCAGATTTAATTGTCAAGCCTGGTAAAGTGCGTACCACTCAGGTCTTTAAGTTTTGCAGTATGTTGGGTAGGAAAGAAATAGAATTTAAAAATGTTTATACATCACTGAATTATCTTTTTACTTCCTAGGCGTTTAGAGAAAATGGCAGACGATATTGATATTGAAGCAATGCTTGAGGCTCCTTACAAGAAGGTGAGAAAAAACATGTCGGTGAGGTTTACATGTTTCTTAATTTAGCATTATTCACGAAACTACTGCTGAAATGTAAACTAACCACCCCGGAGCCCTCTTGATTTATCTTATCAGAGATGCATTACGTGTAACTTACAAAAGTAAATATTTGCTATTGATGTAATAATATTGTGCAGTAGTTTCACTTCAGCGTGATGAATAAATGCCCATCTATCTCTCTTTGTAGACTTGCCTAACGATATCTCACCTCTACTCCCATGAATTCACCTTTGATTCCAGTGTGAACTGTCAATCATAAGGTAGTAATTGAGTGACTTATCGCTGTACCGTGGTCCCCTAGGTAAAATGACTCAACTAAGAATACCAGCTCCAGTTTGGTATAGCAAAAAGGTGAATGTAGTGGTTTGGGAAAGTAGCAGGGGTCCAAGAATAACAAAGCATAACCAGTCTGTGGCAAGCAAATCTTTAAGCCTTTTAAGAAGAAATGGGTGAGATCTAAAAAATTCTTCTCTCTCTATATAAGACTGGTGATAGTAATTATTAAAACAGGCAGGTGCTGATCTGCTGCTCAGTTAAAAATTACTAAAATTCTTGGATCCCTGAATAGAAAAAAATTTTAAAGCAAAAGAGGCAGTATCACAACTTAGAGTCACTTGATGACTGTTTTACTGTTCTCCATATTGTTTTATTTCTAACTAGTCCCTGCCATAATATTTCACACTAGAAGCTACAAAGGAATTATTTTGATTAATATAGTCTTTGACCCATTTCAGTATCATAGTAAAAGTAAAGTGTCTTTTCATTCTTTCATCAGTTGGTGGTGAAAATAGCAGTATGCATGCATTGTCACTGGTGTCAAAATTGTAAGCTTTTAAGTTAGCACTTAAACTTCTATAACTGATGTGATCAAACTTTAAACATTGCGCTAAACCTTTTAAAAATAATACATTTGTTTTGTAGTGTATAGCACGACCATGTGGTACCAATTTGGATGAATTTATAGCTTTAAATAGTGTATGTAATTTTGTAATGCTTAGACTCTTGAAGAGCTTTCTATTTTAATGTTACGATTCTTGTGTTTTAGTTTAACATGGGATGTAATTCCATGTAAACAGGTATGGAAGTAGGAATTGTTTAGGCTGGACTGGTGGATTATTAATTGACTTTCTTGGGTTCTTGGGAGTCAACATTACTAAAGCAGTGTGAATCCCTGTTTGCTTCAGGGCGAGATGTGTGACAGAGGTGGCATCAAGCTCTTACAGTCCCAACCCTCCAACGGAAATGGGCGAAGATCTCAGGAATGGCATCGGTCACAGGAAATCGATAGTGGCTGGCTGCTAGCATGGCCACTTGGGGCTTAGGCAGAAATAGAGCCATGGTACTGACCAAAGGGACCATAGCACATGGAATAAAACTCAAAACAGGACTTCATTCATGTTTTATAGAAATTCTATTTAACCACTTCAACACTGTAAATCTGGATAACTTAATATCTAACTATATAAGAAAGTAAAATTTAATGTTAATATGAATTTTTATTTTTGTATCTTGATGACTTAATTGTAAGCCACAAAGTGGTTAAACACATACCCATCTAAATTTTTTTATAGCCTTCCATGTTAAACTGTAAATAAGTAATTAGTTTTAAAATTGTTTTGTATTTTCTTATTCCTGTTCCCTTTACCCTTTGACAACTTGAAATGTTACCACTTCGTCCTCATGATGTTCTTCTATCAACCCTGCTTAGGATGAGAACAAGTTGAGCAGTGCTAACGGCCATGAAGAACGTAGCAAAAAGTAAGTTTTAAGAAGGGACCTGGGGTGGGGGGTACTTTATGTGACTGAGATCTTAAGTTGTGTTCCGTGGCTAAAGCATCAAACTAAAATTCTCTTCTGAAGCTTTTCTTGCCTCTTAGAAAAGTGATTCTTTACTTTTTGGGATGAGAAACTATTTGAAGATGTAAAACTATGGATTCTTTCCCTAGACATCAGGATATGGTTTCAGGAACCTTTTGGACAACTTCCCCACCTCGTCCATCCATGATAATCTGGATAAGAGTTCTTGTATTAGAGCTTGACTTTTGTCTTAAATTTATTAACTGACTTCATATTTAGTGATGTTTTCAATAAAATTACTGTAGCCAATGAAGATGGGTTAGGAAGAAAGGTAATACATAATTGGGCCATGGGAGGTATTGTTTGCCCTAAATCACTGAAGGAGTCAGAGGTGTGAATTGTTGATACTCCTTGCTGCTTAAAGGCCCTTTTTGTAGTAATGCCATAGCATACTTAAGTACCACTTACGTTCCTTTTACATGGCTTTTGTTGTCTTAGGCTTTTTAAACTCTTAAGACATAATGAAAATGCGTTTTAAAACTTAGGCATTTATGCAAGTTATTTGAGTTAAATGGGTAACCCATAACAGGAACTCAGTGCTGCAGACTAGTACAGAATACATTATACCAGAAATCTAAATAACACTATAAACCAAATAACAGGTTGGATTTTTATCTTGGAGCTTCCCTTCAGCTCTGAAATTGGTGATTCTTAACATGATGTGGTCACATCACAGTATTAAATAGTTTATTAGCCTATATTTGTGATGTCATTAAAACAGTTTGTTGTGTTCATGACCCCATAATACACTGAAAAATTATGAGAAAATAGCTATCTTGTTCTTCTTGACTCTTCCTCCAAAGAGCTTGAAGTGCTTCATAAAACACTACCTCAACATCCTCAGAGCAATATTGTTAGGTAGATTGATAAAATCATAAAGTAGATGATAAAGTTGTCAGATTTGGTTATTTGGGCTCTGTTACGCCAATATTTTAAAAATATAATCCCTAAAAAAATACAGTAGTGATGGATTTTAAAAGATCGGTAGAAAATATCCTACCTTGTTTGTAGTACAAGTTTGTGTGGGAGTCTGTTGCAGTTCCTCACTAAAGACAGCAGGGTTTGGAATTAGGTTGGGTCTTCAGTTTTGGCTTGAGGCAGTCAGCCAGTCATTGCATGTCATCTGATTTTAGACCTTTTACCAAAGTAATAATTTTCTAATTAGTGGTTCTAATCAGTAATTCCATAATGAAAAGAAACCTATGAAGGGGTATTCATATAAATTGAAATGATCCCATTTGAGGATCAGACCTAGTGGGTGAGTAAATCTCTCTCCCTAAGTGCCAAAGTGATGAGGACAGTCACTTTTGGTCACAGACTTCTTTGTTGGATCATTCTCAGATGTCCCATCCCACTCCTTGGCTACTAACACCATTTCCAGTTTAGAGTTGTTTTTGTTCTGCATCTGAGCTCTAGTTTTTACAGGAAATTTAGCATCAAGTACTTCATGACTGATGCTTAGTAGCCTTTATATATCTAATGTGAAGAGTCTTATGGGAGGGACTAAATGGAAAATTTTATTTAATTGGCCATAGGATTCTTTGTTTAAGGGAAGAACATTTCAAAACACTGCAGCTACCATCTGGTATCTTTTCAAATGTGCAAATTATTCCCCTGTTTGACTTATCCTCAGTTAAAGCTGAATAAATAAATGGTTCCTTTGTTTAGTCAGAAACTTTTTGCCCATTTTTCTGAAGGGAATTAATCTTTCAAATTACTTTTTTCAAAGAAAAATTTTTGGATTCAGGGATAGAGTATAAAAAAAGTGAAGTGAGTGTTCTGGTTTTTAGCCATTAATATAAATTAATTTTCAATCAAAGGAAGGTGCCATGTTGTATTTTTCATCCTAAAACTTACTGTACTAGAAGCCATTGAATGTTGGGATATAGTTTTAAGGTAGAAAGAAAATGAACATTCTGAGAAATTGGAAGTTGACCTACTAGAAAATGTTTTCTTTTAAAAAATAGTTATTCTGATTCTCAATACATTCAGTTGTATTCAGTAGTAGTGAATGGAACTAAGTTTAGTATAAAGGCAAATTGGTATCAATTAGCCTGCTTTCTGAAGAGCTATACCTGAGTTTGGCAAGACCTCAAAGTATGTCTTTAAGGTACCTGAGCTTGCCTTTATGGTAATATAATGTCTAAACCAACATCCATTCAGTTAAACTCTTTGGAAATTAATTCAAAAAAGGATAACAATACAATGCCACAGTTGAAATATATTGGCTACTGTAGTGTGGATTATAAATTTTGGAATAAATGACTTTTCTATTTTTTTTTCTTATTTTCCAGAGTACTTTGCATTTAAAATTTAGATCTTCTTACATGGAAGAGGTCAAATCCAGTTATAGCAAAACACCTTTACAGCAGAGGCCATATAACTCAAAAGTCCAAAGGCCCAGCCCAGTGGACCATTTACTTCAATGATGTTCAGTACAAAATTCCACTGCCACTAAAGACTTTGGAAAGTCCCTTTTAAGTTGTAACAGGATTTGACTATTAGTGTGGATTTTGCTAACCCTTCTTTAGTTAACTTAATGTTCTTTGAAGCTGCAATTTGTTATAGAGAAGTTTACAGCTTTCTTGCACCTTCAATTTCTGTCTTGGCTTATATGAAGAGGGTTGTGTTTCTGAATGTCATAGTATGTTGCCGTCTTTTTACTTGTCTGGGGTTGCCTTCAGATGTCAGTGGGGACTCATTTATAAAAAGTCCTAGCAAGACCTTAAGTTGAAATCAGCTCTCTAATTTTCAAGTCCTTTCCTTTGACTGAATAAGTTTTGGGCCTAAAAAGAGGTAAATTGGGAGGTTGACTGCCTCTCTGTTGTGGGTCATCTATGAGCAGAACAAAACTTTATTTGTCCTTTTTGTGGGGGATGGAGTTAACGTTTTACTTTATCCCTTAATTGATTATATTTAGGACTTGATTGTAGCTCTCTAGCAGAATTCTTTAAGAGAGAGTGTCAGGTTTTTCAGGCAACAAAGTTGGAATGTTACTGTTGCCCTTCTGGGCATTGCTTTGATGACTTCTATATAAATAATGAGTGTAGCCTAATTTTCTGTCATGTGCTACCTAGCATATACATTTCTGACAGTCAGGTGGATTATCTTGAAATTTTAGACAAAGTTTCTGCCTCCTTGGAAAGCTCTACATCTCCTTGTGATTGGAGTGTGGGTTTCAAGATTCCAGAAGGTGGGTGTCTTCATTTTCTATTTTCAATGCACTCTAAGATGACCTGCTTACAGGTTCTCTGAGGCAGACTTCAATTGCTCTTGTGCTAGCTTTGCTTTGATAAGGACTAAACAGTTAATTACATTTCCAAGTGATGTAGAGTTGTCAAAAATGTTTAATAACCTTTTAGCTGCTACAAATTGACATTTTAGTAGAATACGTCTATTTTGAAATGTCTTTCAATTTATATTGAAATATCTGAAGGCACCTCTAAAATTTGGGTGATGACAGAGGTACAGATTGTAAGATTCAGTTACGAAAAGAGTGGGTGGGCTTACTGTGGAGATTACGGAAATGAACAGAAAAGATAGGACTGACTGGCTTTTTTACCTAACAGAGTTTGAGATTTTGTAAAGGTTTTATAAAGGTGTTGGTTCTTTCTGATTGTACCCCACAGGCTTGTATTAACTGGCATAAAAATGGCACAATCCATTTTCTGTCGTACTCATAACTTTAAATAGGAAGTACCTGAAATGGTCACATTGAAGTCTAAGACTGTTAGAATGCAATTTAGTGCATTTGTTTTATTGTCACTACTTGTAATTTGCCCATGAAAACCAAAATGTTGATGCTTGTATGGCCCTTTGAAAGTATAAAATATTTGCATGTGTAAATTGGGCCAAAATTGGCTTACTTAAGGGAAATCAGTATACTTAATGAACATTTTTTTTATCTGATCCACTTCTAATGCTTAAATGTTAACATAATCTTCTGTAACTATGATTTTGTTAATGTATATCATGGAGTACAGTAATACTGTTGGGCAGATCATGATGGTCAAACTTTATTTAACAGTTCAGGTTTTGATTTAAGCCTGTCAACAAGTCCTTTCCTTGTTAAAATTGTAGCTGACTCCCAGGAGAGATTATTATAGTCCTTGCTTTCTTAGATAATTCTTTATCAACTGACTGCTGATTTTCAGTAGTAGAATGCAAAGGTGGGGTGTTTTTTACCTTACCTAGGAATTCTTTTTCCATAAAATGATTTTGTATCATTGTGTAATAAAAATAACAAAATAAATAAAAGATGAAAAAAATTTCTGACCGTAAAAGGGAATTATATTTTGGCATATTCTTAAGACAGCAAGATAATGGTGATCTTTTTTCTTCTCAGGAGGAAAAAAAGCAAGAGCAGAAGTCGTAGTCATGAACGTAAAAGAAGTAAAAGTAAGGAACGGAAGCGAAGTAGAGACAGAGAAAGGAAAAAGAGCAAAAGCCGTGAAAGGAAGCGAAGTAGAAGCAAAGAAAGGAGACGGAGCCGTTCAAGAAGTCGAGACCGCAGATTCAGAGGCCGCTACCGAAGTCCTTAGTATGTAACCATAATTACAAAAATTTTGGTTTGAAAGTCATTATCGGGCTGTCCAGATAGCAGTTAACCTGAGTGATTGGAATTACAGAATTTTATTTTTCAATATAGTTAACTAAAGAAAGGGTATTGGCATTGAAAGACCAGTGAAGTGGAAATACAGGGTGTGGACAAATACATAACTTTGTTTTATTAATACGGCATACAGAATATGTTCTGTTACTCTAATAATATTTTACCTGCATGCTAAGTCCAAACTAAGGTATTGTAGTGCCAAATACATGAAAGCTTAAAGTGTGTGAGCTATGACAGTATTCTTTAATGAATATAACTTTAAAAATTTTTTTACAGTTCAGATGGAGATACAAGTTACAAATATTATAAAAAGTTAATCCTTGTCTGCGTGGCTGTTTTCAGCTGAAATGACAGACCCTTTGAATTTGGTTTATCTTGGTAATCCTTTTGGGGACACATCACACATCTTTTGTGTTTTTAAGGTGTTTTAATAATAGTAAAACAAAGTATTTGAAAGGTTAAGTAATTGTCATTTGGATGTTATTTAAATAATTTGGAAACATTTCATTATAGTCATTTAAAATTTTTAGCTATATAAATAATTTTAGAAACAGTCTACCTGTTTAGTGCTTTTAATGATGCTCTTTACTCTTAATAAACATACTTCTGTAAACTATGGGATATGTTAAAATTAATACTTCTAATTTTAAAACTTGAATGGTTAAAAGATGAAATTCAGAGACAAACACAACTGAGTCAGAGCCTTGTCTCTTTCACTTGGGCAAGTTGACATTTCTAAGGTTTAAGATTTCTCATCTTTTAAGGAGGCAGCAACTGACAGGTGAAGCTATTAACAGGAATGAAAGATGAATGTAAATAAGGCATCCACCATATTTATTGCTGTTCATAAAATGTTTTGGTGTTATTTGAAACCATTAAGTTATGTAGAAACTTTCTTAAAGTAACACTTTATGAGTTCTTCTTGATTCTGGCTCCTTAATCGTTAAAATAAAAGAAATTGGACTTCTCTGTTCCTCTAGCTGCTTGCTTCATAAATTTAAGAGCTTAAAAGCGACCACAATATTACTTTAATCCTGAAAGCTCCGTTTGAAAATACTTTGTTTTTGTCCAGTTTATCAAAATCGACTACATGGTGTTTTTTTTTTAGCAGAATGAACTTATAGGGGGGAAAGGGATCACCTTAAAATTCTGAATGTTAATTACTTTATTAAATGTGAATACTTGAAGTCAGCCTGTAATCCTGGCCTGACTTAAAAACGATTTAGTTCTTATGTTTCGTTTTGGTGATTTTTTTTTTTTTTAACTATGGAGGCAATAACTCAGACTTGCATACTTAAAGGAGAAAGAAAATAGCTTAATACATTGCTACTTGAACCTGAATTTCTCCAGTATATTTATATTGTTAATTACCACTGTTAGTCTTAATTGCAAAGGACACATTTAATATAAAATTGTATTTGGAATTGCTTGGATGTTGAAGGTGGTAAACATGTAGTCTGTGAAATGGAATCTGAACGTGGATCACAGACCACTAGGTACTAGCATTTTGCTACCCTCTTGGAAGAGGATAGTAGGATGAGCACTAAGCTATATGATTTGTACCTTTAAGATAGTTTGGTCTTTCAAAATAAAAGGCCCCAAAACTGGGTCTTCTTAGAACTTAGAATAAAACTATTTTAGAACAGTCACCTCTGTGAGCTTTTGTGAAAATATTCCTTTGATATGTCAAATTTTCAAAAAAATTTTCCAAAGATTTGATGAACTAACTTCCTTTACATCTTACTGTGGACTATTTTACCACAAAGAATGCACTAACTGCTTTTTCGCAGTCTGAAACTTACATAGAAAAGTTGGTATTTTATGATTTTGTAAAGAATTAGTTCTCTTAATTTCTTAAAAGGAGACCCTATAACAAGAAAACATGCATAGGAATATTATATATATGTATGTTATGTATAAGTACGTATATTATTGAGAAATGATCTGCAAAGACGCACACCAGATTGGTAAAGGTGCTTACTCCTGGTGTATCAGTGTGGTTTTTTTAAACCTGAGGAATGTATTCATAAATGTGTAATTAAAAAAGAAAACTAGACTGAAAATGAGAGTGAGCATTTTCAGAATCCTAAACTTTTTGAGGCTATAACCTTTATAGTCTTGGCACCTCTCAGTGGTCCAGGATGATCATTTAAGAGCAGTTTGGGATAGAGTTAAGAGAAGTCTCTTATTTCCTCTTCATAATTGAGGTGGAAAAGAAGCAGCCTAAACAATGTTAAACTTGCTGGAGAGCGCATGAACATGATCTTAGCAAGACCCTAACCCTGTAACTAGTGTAATTTTGTTTTTCCTTTTTAGCTCCGGACCAAAATTTAACAGTGCCATCCGAGGAAAGATTGGGTTGCCTCATAGCATCAAATTAAGGTTTTTAAACATACTTCTGAATTGTTTAAATCATTTTTCAGGGAACTAATGTGGTGTACTTGTTTGGGTAACTTCTGAACTTTTTAACTTTGCAGCAGACGACGCTCCCGAAGCAAAAGTCCATTCAGAAAAGACAAGAGCCCTGTGAGGTAGCTGTTGTCCCTATTTCTTTTTTTGAGAGCTTTTAGCTTTTATAAAGCTTCAATTTATACTACTGTTTAATTTAATGTCGTTTAGTAATTTGAACCATATTAAATGTTTGCTTTTGGTAGTACTGCTATTAAATCAGTGAATTCCCAAGTTTTCAGTACCTCAGATTAATGTCATTTGACCAAGAATGGAGCTGTTATTACCACTTTTTTTTTAAGTTGGAACATTTTCTTTATTTGTATTCCTTCCCAACTTGTCATGTGTAATTACCATTTTTTAATGTGTAGATACTACATGTGATCTTATTTTCCTCTTAGTTAAAATTTCTTAATGGTAGCTATAGAAAACTTTAAATAGACTTGGTTCACCTTTGGAATTTCATAGATTTTGAGTTATGAAGTAGCCTCATGTGGGAAAAGTAGCTGTAACTGGAGTTTTATCATTTGGCGCTCTTTCCTCAGGAAAAGTATTTAATCCCCAAAGTCTTAACCAAATTGACTTATTTTTAAGTAGTAGTCTTAACGTTCTTGATGTTCCTGTGAGTTTTTTGTCTCTGAAATAAAACATAAGACTTACTCTCCAGTATACCATTTTGTTTCCAGGAACATTTTGTTACATGGCAGTATTGTTCTTTATTGATGTTTTGGTTTCCCTTAATTGATGGGAATAATTTAAAAATTCTCTGTATTGATCTTACTGTACCTTTTAACTTTGAGTCTGTCCTGTTATTTGGAATATTTTAACTATTCTAGAATTTGGTGAAAATCTTATTTTAAATCTGTATTTGTAACAGACTGAGGTTTTTTTTAATATTTAGTTTCCTGTTATAAGAAAATTCCCTTTTAATAGTTACTCCCTGGATACTAGTCCATCTTTGTGTCTCCATTTTACAGTAATTATGTTTAAAATTACCCGATTTCTCAAGGAGATGTAGCAGAATTTTATTGGAGCATTTCAAAAGTACTTCCTGAGAATGTCCAGAACATGGATAAGAGCATGCTTATTATGCTTAAGCAACTTCAAGGATTCCCACAGAACCTTAAACCTTGGGGAGATATTTTGTAATAGATAATGTGAATAGATACTTATTTTTCCTTGAAGTTCATGAAATTAAATTTCATTTATTGTGCTCTTAACTTTTTTCACTTGGGCACGTTAGTTTTCTCTGTAAATTGAGAAGTATATTCAATCTTAAAGGCTGTGAAAATGAATTAAATCCCACTGTTGCAATATGTCTAGATAAAACTTCCTGCTTTGCACTTTTATTTACTTAGTTACATTCTCATATTTTATAGCCATCCAGAAACATTTCTCTGGATTATAAATTTGAAGAGTCTTAGTACATGAGATTGATAAACAACCAGCTCTCACTGTTCTGTATCTCTCTCAATTTGTAAAAATTCCTAGAAACAAATAGTTATCATTATTTGGGGTTTTACTTTCAAGTTAGTCATTTGTAAATATCAGACAGTCTTACTTAATGGTGTTATGGTTTTGTTGTGGGAAATAATTTTTAACACTAATTTTCAGACAGTCTGACCTTTCTGACCTTTGTGACTAGTTAGGAGATATTTCTTGTCATTTTTACTCTGACGCTTCTGATTGGCCTTTTGTTATCCTTGAGAAATTATCATTTTCAAAATTGAGAGACCAGTGGACTTTTGTCCTGATACCATGTAAGATACTAGAAGAAACATTTAGTAAACTGTCAATCCTGTTGAAGTAATTGAGTTACAATGAATTACTATCTGGACATTTTGTATAAATTTTAGTGAAAATAGGCTTGGGAATAGGGACAAACAGTTAAAGTTTATTCTGTTAACTGAAAATGTACTTTAAAATGTTAACTTAAAGGAATACAGTTAAATAAATGAAATTTAATAAAATTAATTCCATAATCTTTACTCCTGTTAGGGAACCTATTGATAATCTAACCCCTGAGGAAAGAGATGCAAGAACAGTTTTCTGCATGCAGCTGGCAGCAAGAATTCGGCCAAGGGATTTGGAAGAGTTTTTCTCCACAGTGGGAAAGGTAACCTTGGCCTATTTAGAGAGGTCAAATAAGTGTAAACTGCAAACAACATTTTAATAATGTCGGTATGGCAGATAAAAGGAGGAAACATCTAAACACCAGATCTTTTGATTCAGTACAAATTGGATGACGGGCATTTATTTTTGATAACATTTTTTTTTTGTCTCACTTAGAAGGTAATAGTGTTGGAGTTGATAAATACTATCACATATTCATCAAAAGATAGAAGTGGGCCTACAAATTGTTTAAAAATTTTATTCACTGGCTGCTTTTCTGTATCATTAATACACCTGTCTTTCTTTTTAAATCATTACATCTACAATGGGTTACAGTGGATGATTACACGAACAGAACCTTGTGTTAAGTGTGTTTTCTTTTTAGGTTCGCGATGTGAGGATGATTTCTGATAGAAATTCAAGACGTTCCAAAGGAATTGCTTATGTGGAGTTTGTCGATGTTAGCTCAGTGCCTCTAGCAATAGGATTAACTGGCCAGCGTGTTCTAGGAGTGCCTATCATAGTACAGGCATCTCAGGTAATTTTTTTCTTGGTTAGAATTTGATCATTAATACGGAAACCTGCTGTTGATTATTGTTGGACTATAGTGCCTTGGGCCTCAACATAATCACCACTTACGGAGTCAGCCATTGTCAAGATAGCTTTTTTTTTTAACTTGGCCTTGATTACTTTGATAATAGTGTACTTAATACCGTGTTTTATTTTCATAGAGGTAATTATTTCATGGAAAAGACTTGAAAATTTGGTCTAGAATTATATTGATTTGCAATGATAAATTTGTTGGGGATAGAAGCATTTAAAAACATGTTCAAATGGAATGATTTTGATGTTTTTAATTAAGTCAGTATTTTCACTATTTTATAATACATTAATAGTTTGAAAGTAAGAAACAGCAAACTATAACTCAGTTTTTTTAAAGGAATATTCGATTTAAAGAATATTTTTGTGCAGTTCAAAATAGTCATTGTTTGCTTTCAAACCACTGAAATCATTACTCCTATATCTGGTTACTTCACAAACTTAGAAAATTTTATAAGGTTATTTACAAAGCTTTATAACTGGATCTGATTTGAAATTCCAGTTTTGCTAATAAGCCATATGTAACCATAGTAAAATTACTATCTGTCATCTCTAAATGTCAATAATAGGTCCTACTTAATATTTTAGGAGTACTTACTATTGGGTATTATTGCTTGGTTTTATGTAAACAATAGGAAAAAATTCGTTTAAGAGATGGAAAAAGTCATTGGTAAATAACTTTCTGTAATGCAAGAGGATAGACCCCAGTAGTGTTTGGATTGTTGTAAGAAAGGGCTAAGAAACATCAAATTTTTTTTTCGACTTTTCAGTTTGTTATAATATCTGATTTTGACACAAATTAAACACATTCACTTTTTGGCTGCCTTTTGATTAAAAATATTCAGCTTAGGAAAATATCGATAAGTATATATTTATTTCCTACACTTACTTCCTCTCCATAAATATAAAACACATCTTACTAAAGCTTCTGATTAGAAGAAACGTCAGATTTAATGAGGTTTTGAATTCATTTAATTTTAACCTCCTGTTGAGTAGTACCAGGTTGTTTAGGAAAAGAAGTTTGTGTTAGAATGTAAATTAAAACTGTTTCCTTTGAGAAGTACTCAGCTATGGATAAATGACAGCCAAGCTGAATGCATGGCATGCTTTGTTTTTTATTTACATAAGCCCTATTATGGCAGCCAACCAGTTTGTATACTATATACTCTATCAGTGATCCTGAGAGCACATTAATTCTAATGAATGAATAATGTATTTACCAAAGCCAAGAAGCAATCTTACCTTCTATATTTAGTATGTCTGATACCAAGATGCATCTTGAGATGGCATAATGTAGTTTGATGATTGATTTTTATGTATGAAATGCAGTGCATGATTGCATATGTGTATATATATGACTTCTACATATGTTTAAAACTTTTATAAAGTTTTTTATTGTAAATACCATTAAACACAAAGCGTTCACTAAAAAACTTGGCATTATTTTAACCCTTTAAAGTGCACAATTCAGCGCCATTCATCCGTCACGTCTGAGTGGAATTACACAATATTTGTACTTTCATGTATGACTTCTTACTCTTAGTTATATATTGTCACTAACCTTTGACAGCCGTTGTCATTAAGCAAACCTAAGGTGTGAATGGGATTTAGTGCTCTTAATAATGACTTGGGCTTTTGTTGTGTGATGTGCATTTTTTCTTGATCTTGCAGGCAGAAAAAAACAGAGCTGCAGCAATGGCAAACAATCTGCAAAAGGGAAGTGCTGGACCTATGAGACTTTATGTGGGCTCTTTACACTTCAACATAACTGAAGATATGCTTCGGGGAATCTTTGAACCTTTTGGAAGAGTAAGTCCCAGTTTCTTCAGTGGATCCTTAATGGGTTCTTGACCCAAACATAACTGCATAATAATTTCTATGTAATTACTCTCTCATGTAAGATAGTTGTCCTGAAAGAATATAATCATTTGAAGTTGGAGAATCTATTAACACATTACTGATAAGGCTACAGTAAAGTTCATAATCAGTATTAGGATATATAATATTTTAAAAACATGAATGATAAAGATGTACTGTGCATTTGGAGCAAGATTTTTTTTGTGTGGTTTAGTCAGTGAAAATTGAGGGTAGGAAATTAAGGGATCAGAGTTTTATCCAGTTGGTCCTCATATTAGAATGGACATTCTGTTTTAGAGTAAATGTTAATAGTAGGCTTTGTTCTGGTTTAAAAGATTTATTGTGTGGTCATGAGTTAAAATCTGGTTCTTGTGTATGTACCTTGTTGATTACTAATCTTCATTGCTTTTGGATATATATTTTTCTTAAACTGCACCCATCAACCTGTTTGTTAAACTGTTTTAAATGTTAATGGAAAAAGACTTGATATTTTAGGTTATCTGTTGGAAATACACAGGTCATAATTTTATGGGTTGGTCAGTCGGTCATTACAAAATGAGTATGTTCCTAAAACCACCAGAACATGAAGAAATACAATATGTAGCTGTATTTTTTTTTCTAATTGTGTATTTTAATTTTTATGCTTTCTGTGTATGGACAGCTTTATTGGGATATTGTGATAGAATTCATAAACTGTACAGTTAACCCATTTAAATGAACAATATTTGCTTTTTAGTGTGTCCTCAGAGTTACACAGCCATCAATCACCAGTGATTGTTGTATTTAGTTATTCCAACATTTTGGGTAACTTATGTAGGGTATTGTTGAGAATTAATCTTCAGCATTTTTAGCATAATGGAAAAGAAGCATGTTGGTTGCATTTCTAACTCTTGATTGTTCTACAAAGATTTTCTGAATTTTAGTGGGTTTTTTTTTGAGGCAAAAAGACTGATATGTTCAATTTTTTTTCCTGTTCTCAATTGAGCAGAAAATTTCTTGAGCAGTTTTTTGGCTTTTAGAATGTTCTTTGGGTATGGGAGGTTGTAATATGTGTTCAGTTATCTTTTTAGGGGACGAGGTGATTTTTTCCACTCATGCTTTGGCCCCTTCCTTTTCTCTTACATAATAATTATTTTCATTTTTAGATTGAAAGTATCCAGCTCATGATGGATAGTGAAACAGGTCGATCCAAAGGATATGGGTTTATTACGGTAAGCAGTTACGACTTACAAGTTTTTGACCTAAGCACAGTAAAACTTCATTAGTTAACTTCATTAGTTACTGGTAATAGGAAAGGAGGCATGGTTAATATTTTCAAGTGTTTTAAAATAATTTTTAGTAACCATTACTTAGTAGCAGTTAAGTGTTCACCAAAATGTGGAAGTGTAGCCAGTTTATTATTACCATGTATGTGATTAGTTTGCTTAGTTAAGACTTCTTTAGACTCTTGGTTTTTTATGACACATTGTTGTCACTTATATGAAGATCTCTTAGAATTGTTTTATTTGAAATACTTTCTACATATATATACCTCATAACTCACCGTAACCAGGATTGCCTTCTTACAAAAGTGTTTGTGGGCTAACCATCGCAGCCCAGTCCCATTTAGGATATGAAGTGGCATGTGGAATAATTGTAAATGGAAGTGCCATTTTAGAAGTAAAGTCTCTTGGGTATTATTTCATGATGCAGTCCAGTTACATGATAGCAGTTTTTCAAGTGTATTTCTTAAAACCTTGGAAGGTATTGAAAAAATTTCAGTTTGAAATACAGATAGTTGTCACCATTGCTGCCATCATAGAAAAATTCTTTTAAATGTAGATAGGTCCTAGCTTTGATGAAGAAACTATTGTTGTCCTAAATCTAAGTTTTAGTAAAATTTAAACCTGTTCTATAGTGATAGAGAATGTGTTCTATTGGTCATTGGAATTTTATCTACCTCAAGGTGTACTGTTGAAAGGAGAAAAGTTATAGGACTGTCAAATCACTAACAATCAGTTTTCTGTATAATAACACTTGTATGGTTGTATTTTATTTGCCATCAAGAAGTGATGTGGTCAAGATAATACATGTAACTTGTATTTAGTATTTTATAACGTATAGCATTTTATACAATAGTTTTAGTGCTCAAATATTTGGTTGGGACATTTTCACTGTCAACTAAGCTGTTGTGACTAAGTGATTTATAAAGAAAACTAATTGTATGAATTTCTAAGGTGCTGTGTGTGTAAATGTTTCCTGTTGTGTAACTACTGTCTAATTCCATCTCAACAGAAAATGAAATATTTTTTATTTTCTGATGCAAGATTAAGCTATGGAATTGGTGGGATGTGTTCCTTCCATTACATTAAAGCTAGAGTGTGTAAATCACAGTTTTATTGTGTTTGCATCCTGAAATTAAGAATTTTAGCAATTTTTCTGGCAATAAAACATGTCCCAGGATTTTTAATTAAAAATAACATTTGAACTGTTAATTTTTCTGAATAGTTCACTTTGATTGAGGGGAGAAAAGCATCATTTTAGTTCATCTCAGAACATTAAAAAGGGTTTGATGTTGAAAAAATTACTTTCACTTTTTGTTACTAAGATTTCATATTCCTGAAGATAGGTTTATTACTTGGTAATATCTTGGCCATTCAAACTGACGTGAACAAATCTAATTTGCATAAACTTGTGGTCTGATCATGTAGGTTATATTACAGCTTGAAATTTCTCCTTTATTGCCTACCTAGTAGTAACTGGATATATTATACTTTCTGACCATTTCTTTTTCTTAGCATATACGTAAATTAATATACTGGACTTTTTATCCCCCTCTCAATGATACAGTTTTCTGATTCAGAATGTGCCAAGAAAGCTTTGGAACAACTTAATGGTTTTGAGCTAGCAGGGAGACCAATGAAAGTTGGTCATGTTACTGAACGTACTGATGCCTCCAGTGCTAGCTCATTTTTGGACAGTGATGAACTGGAAAGGACTGGAATTGACTTGGGAACAACTGGTCGTCTCCAATTAATGGCAAGACTTGCAGAGGGTAAGTTTTTCCTAGGATTGTGAATGATTTATTGTGGTTAGGATAATGAGAATGGTGACTGCAGACTAATAAATGGAAAATAATTTTTCCTTATTTTGGGCTTGATGTTATCCTTGGGCAGCATATTTAGTTCTATAGATGGAGTTCTTTGCCTTGATCTAATGGAATATAGTGGTGCTTTCTGAATACCATAATTTCTGTAATAATCATATCCTTATACTTCAGCATAAATTTAATTGCAGCTTTTACACAGTGTTCTGCTTGTAAATTCTTTTAGTGAAGTGACTTTTGGTAGTAAGCCCCCCAAAAATGAGGCTTTTCTGCTTGTAAACATAATAAGGACTTTAAGACCTGTTTCTTGTTTCACAGGTACAGGTCTGCAGATCCCACCAGCGGCACAGCAAGCTCTACAGATGAGTGGCTCTTTGGCATTTGGTGCTGTGGCAGGTAGGAATTGAATCTTTTCTAATTTGAACATTGTTTTTCACCTAATTCGAAAAATTGCCAAATTTTTGCATTTAAAAGGACTTAACTGAGAATTCAATTCATCAAGTACTTTTAGCCTATATACTTCAAGAGTTCACATAAGAGAGTAGAGATAACAGGACAGAATTATTAACTAATCATAAAAACTTATTAAGCTATTTTTGAATCCTGCCTGCTGATTTTTAGTTGAAATTACCGTTAGACCTTTTTTTTTTTTAATGAAACACCAATTTTATTCCTTTATACACTAATAAGAGATCACTGATTTACTTCTCTGTCCTAACTTTTAAGAAAGCTTACCTGAAGCAGTAGAGGGATTGGCTCAGTGGGGAGCAGCTGCTGAATTCCAGTGAGATTGTACTTTGTAGAGCATAATAAATTTGTGGTAAAGCTAGCCATTAGACCTTTTTAAATACATTAGTTTTTATTAAAGACCAAAAAGCTTATGTTGTTTTTCTTTGTAATGTTTAAATTCAGGAAACTACCAGAGATCTTTAAATCAAGCTTTAAAATAATTGTAGTATCAAGAATGCAGAGAAAACTGCTTCCCTAAATATAGTATATACTATTTTGACATTTTTCAGTTAGGAGATGAAGTTTCTGGAGAGACCAGAAAAAGAGATTTGATAGTTTATTACAATCATGTAACAAGGTTCAGTTTATAAAATACATTGTATTACTCTATTCTATGGCTTAGTTATGAAGCTGGCTTTTATAAATGTTGATACTAAAGTCTACAAGCTAGGACCGTATTTAATTTTTAAATGTTGAAGACTTGCCTTTTTTTTTTGTATCATTAATCTACAATTACATGAGGAACATATTTACTAGACTCCCCCCCCCATCACCAAGCCCACCACCACCACCAAGCCCCCCCACCCCTCATACCCCATTACAGCGACTGGAAGACTTGCTTTTAGAACATCTAAGAACCACCATTTGTATTTTGGACCTTGGATGACAGGAAATAATATCTGAAGAAAGTATGGCAATCTCCATTATGAAATGATCTTTTGATCTTGCCTGCAAAGTGATATGTAAATACAGTACTGCTTCTGAGTATACAAAAAGGTCCATGTGGTTGCTTCATGATTTCCTTTTAAATTAAAAATTACAGTAATTAGAGGATTATTTCTGCCTTTGCTTTATTATTTATTAGAGAGATGGGAGATTTTCAGTGTTTTCCTTTTTAGTGGATATCCAAAATTTTTTGAGTATCTTTAGAAAAATCTTCTGGTTTTTTGTGCTTCCTGTCTAATAGTTATTCTCTAAAATTTCTGACAAAACCATGATAGTGTGTCCTTAGGAGAAAATCATAGTCATTAATTCAGTTCTGTATTGAGTCATTTGATGACTCCTCAATACCCTAAATTGCTGTTTTATTTTAATTCTTTAAACAAGTGTCAGGCATTTTATTTTCTTTACAGTGAACAAATAGTCCTAGAAAGCCATTTGATGTAACTGAAGATACTGAAGGAAACGTCATCACTTCCAGTAATACATGCTACTCTGTTGTGTGAAAGTTACTATCTGAAAACTCTATCCTTATATTGCTTCCTATTGTTCAGATCATTCTATAATTTAGAAAATGCTTCGATTACCTACCATATTCTAGGTATTGTGTTCCACTAAAAACTAGTGAACAAGATTTTTTACCTTCATGAATTTATTTGATGCAGTAACGAAATTCATTCCTAAAATTTCTTAATGTATTTGGGTGCTGTATCAAATGTTAATACTTATAAATCATGTCTTCACCTAATGGAAGATTTTTCAGTGTTAGATATCATTATTGCCATCATTTCTCATATGATGCATGATGTATGACTACACATCCCTGGACACGTGCACTGTCATTTATAATATGGCTGTCTGATTATGATAAACTCAAATGCCAAATGTCCATATGGATTTTTGAAAATAGCCATTTAGTTATTTATACTTGTTCCCGTTTTTAGTGTTTATTTAGATGATTAAAAGTTTGGTTCTCTTATACCATAAATTCTTACTGCTACTGAAAATGATACATTTAATTTTTAGGTAAATATTTACATAACTGGGCATTTTTCTGTAGATAGTCATTATTAAAACCTTAAACATTCCTTGTTGAAATTAAATTGCTGAGTGTTGATGTGTTGTAGACCCTTATTCCCTAAGTCTCTTAAAGCTGTTTTTTTTTCTTTTTGAACCTAGTGTATTATATTACTAAATATCACTGTATCCACATGTCTTTATTCTGCAAGTTTAACAGGTGCTTTCTAACATAGGGTGGAGTCCACATTTTAATGAAACACATGCTTTGCTTCCTGTGGTGTCACAAGTGACCTGGAAGATCATTTTTGAAATTTTGATATGGATTTATATATACTTAGAATTGAGTGGATTCCTGATATCTATACATTTTTTCCCATTTTAGGGGAAAAGACAAATTGTATTATAATTTAAAGTTTATTGACAGTGTTCCTATGGTCATATCTTCAAGTTCCTTCAGTATACACCAGTTATATTTCTTCAACTCCCTGAGATGCCAATTTTGAGCACCTAGGACCCCCAGGTATTCTTAAATCCCAATGTAACTTGGACCTTTTCATTTTTGCCCATGTTTTAATGGTAATTTTCTGTACTCAGCAAGAAATAATCTAAATGGTAATAAAGTGTTAAAGTTGAATCATATGTTAATAAAAACTAGGTTACTGAATCTAAACAATTTCTGTGTTGTATGTTTTTATAACCTTAAGATAGCTTTGCAACACTGACATTTTCTTTACTGTTCAGTCTTGGCTGCTGTTTTCCCTTGCCTAGCATCTTTCTCTTAATTTGCCCACCAATGTAGAATGTTAAAGTATATAAGAAAATATATTGTTAAAGCCCCAATTCTGTATATACTTTTAAATAATGACTAGATGCTTTAATTTTTACAGTAAATCCAATTAGATTTTATTCCAGCCTCATTAAATTTCCAAGCTAGGCCAGGAAACCATACCTGATAAAGCTGTCACTTTATGGGCTGGACTTGATGGTTTAAATGCTAAAAGCACTTTAACATATACATACAGTTAGAATGGTATCTTTCCCATTGGTGATAGTCATACTACTTAATTGGTATATTATAGAAAGTGTTTATAGCTGTTTAATGTGTACTGTTGCAGTGTTTCCTGTTTTACTATAAACTTTGAAAGTTTAAAATGCTTACTGCCACTGATAGAAAAATAAGTAGTTGGATTTCCCAAGTACTTGGAATTGAATTCTCAAGATCAGGGTTTTCATGCATTATTTTGACCGGTGTGCTTCCCTTTCCCCATTTCCCATTATTCCCATGTGAGGAGTAGAGTTGTAGGATACATTGCAGAGACAAAAGAGTACTAGGAATAGGAAGAGAGGCAAAAGTAGGCTTCCTAGGATAGGAGGAAATAAAAAGGCCCCAAAGCCTTGTCAATGAGGAATGGGGAAGGAGGTTTGGCTGCCAGGTTTTACTATAAGTTCATTTTTGATAAACCCTGCTACTGTGGTCCTCTTTTATTAATGCTTTCCTGACATTTACCCTGTTAGTTGAGGCTCTTCATTGTTCCTGCACTGAGCTGTAGAATTCTCTTTTGTTATAGATTTGCAAACAAGACTTTCCCAACAAACTGAAGGTGAGTTGAGCTTTTTATTTGTCTATGAAATAAATGTAAATATAGCAAAACACAGTTGTTTATGTTTGTTATACTGTACATAGTTTGTATTTTGGACCCTATTTAGGCAGAATAGCATTTAGTCGTGTATACACAGTAGGCTGTCTAGGAAGGTATATATTTGAGAAAAGAATAATCTAGATCATTACAATTATATGGATAAAGAAAATGAAAATGTCCCAAGTTTTGTATTCTTTTGCTTTAGTTTGCTTAGAATTATTTTCAGCCTTGCATGCTTTCCTTTGTTTTTCTTTGTTAGTAAGTTTCGTATAGAAGTCAGAAAAGGAAATTAATCATTGTAGCAGACAAATCTTTCAGAATGTGGAGTCTGAACTTGACATGAGGTTAAGATAACACTGGCTTAACCACAGTGACTTGGATAAGCAATAACAAGCAATGACAAAACTATCCAGAACTAAATTGCATGCAGATTTTGGAAATTGAAATGAATTATATAAAGTAGGCTTGTTTTTTCTTGTTTTTAATACCAACTAAAATCTCTACCATACTGATAAAGCTGTCACTTTATGGGCTGGACTTGATGGTTTAAATGCTAAAAGCACTTTAACATATACATACAGTTAGAATGGTATCTTTCCCATTGGTGATAGTCATACTACTTAATTGGTATATTATAGAAAGTGTTTATAGCTGTTTAATGTGTACTGTTGCAGTGTTTCCTGTTTTACTATAAACTTTGAAAGTTTAAAATGCTTACTGCCACTGATAGAAAAATAAGTAGTTGGATTTCCCAAGTACTTGGAATTGAATTCTCAAGATCAGGGTTTTCATGCATTATTTTGACCGGTGTGCTTCCCTTTCCCCATTTCCCATTATTCCCATGTGAGGAGTAGAGTTGTAGGATACATTGCAGAGACAAAAGAGTACTAGGAATAGGAAGAGAGGCAAAAGTAGGCTTCCTAGGATAGGAGGAAATAAAAAGGCCCCAAAGCCTTGTCAATGAGGAATGGGGAAGGAGGTTTGGCTGCCAGGTTTTACTATAAGTTCATTTTTGATAAACCCTGCTACTGTGGTCCTCTTTTATTAATGCTTTCCTGACATTTACCCTGTTAGTTGAGGCTCTTCATTGTTCCTGCACTGAGCTGTAGAATTCTCTTTTGTTATAGATTTGCAAACAAGACTTTCCCAACAAACTGAAGGTGAGTTGAGCTTTTTATTTGTCTATGAAATAAATGTAAATATAGCAAAACACAGTTGTTTATGTTTGTTATACTGTACATAGTTTGTATTTTGGACCCTATTTAGGCAGAATAGCATTTAGTCGTGTATACACAGTAGGCTGTCTAGGAAGGTATATATTTGAGAAAAGAATAATCTAGATCATTACAATTATATGGATAAAGAAAATGAAAATGTCCCAAGTTTTGTATTCTTTTGCTTTAGTTTGCTTAGAATTATTTTCAGCCTTGCATGCTTTCCTTTGTTTTTCTTTGTTAGTAAGTTTCGTATAGAAGTCAGAAAAGGAAATTAATCATTGTAGCAGACAAATCTTTCAGAATGTGGAGTCTGAACTTGACATGAGGTTAAGATAACACTGGCTTAACCGCAGTGACTTGGATAAGCAATAACAAGCAATGACAAAACTATCCAGAACTAAATTGCATGCAGATTTTGGAAATTGAAATGAATTATATAAAGTAGGCTTGTTTTTTCTTGTTTTTAATACCAACTAAAATCTCTACCATTTGATCGAGCCTTTTGCTGTTGAGCTAATGCAGTATCCATAAGGTATAATTAAAGTTGTTTAGGGGAGTAATTCTTTGTGAAAAAGATCTGCAATGTTCCTTGATACTCAGGAATTAAATATGTACATTTAAATTTTTCCAACAAATAAGACGATTGTACTCAATCTATTTTTTCCTGATGTTAAAAAGTAAACTAGTGGTTTTTCTTAATTTAGTTATATACTGTGCTGAATTCATTGTGTTCTGCATTCATCTAGGTTGACCTGGAATGTTTCTGTCAAAAATTTTCAAAATATTTTTTGGTACTCATAGTAATCAGTTAATTTGAGAAAGTGGAAAAATAAGTCCTCAGTAATTTTGTAATGACCTAGTTTTTTTTCAAGCATACTTCTATTTGTGATAAAGGTACACAGCCTCACTTTTTAATTGTAATACATGCGCAATTGGATCTTTTACTTTCCCCAATAGAATTTGACATCTACTTATTTTAGCATTTATATGTTAATATAAAGCTTTATGAAGGAAAAATACTTGTTTATTAAAATAAACTATGAAGAAACAAAAAGCACTTGTAATTTTACGTGTCAGAAACATTTTTTATAATGTATTTCATGCACAGCCTTAATTCTTTATTCAGTGGCCTATTTCTGGTACGTCCTCAGGTGATCGTTCATTTTAATTACCATAATTTCTAATGCACTGTTTTATCCTTAGCTTTGTTTGTTGTTATGTGTTGGAATGAAATTTGTTCAAATATTAGGATTACGGTGAGTTCTGTAACAGCTACTGGTAATGTTTTATAAATCAGAAAAACAATGGAGCAGCTAGCTGTCTTGGACAGTGCTCTCAGTCAGATAAAACCAATATGGGTTTTAAATGTTGTTTCTAACTATTACCCTCCAGTAGTTTTTTATTTTTAATAGTGGCTATTATAGCCATATGCCAGTTTTAATGTTTCTTTGCTAAAACAGACCTGATCATTGAAAAAATACTAGTCTGATTTCATAATAGGACTATTTCCTAGGATATTAAGATTTCAATGCTTGGATGGTTTTATACATCTTATTTTTAAAACTTAATTTTTTAAATAATGTTTATATTAACTTTAAAGAAAATACGTAACCATACTCATGGGCATAAACCTAAGAACTACAACATGGTATAGATTTATTTGGCAGCTTAAAGATTGTATTTTCATTATCCCATACCTCTCAGTATAAACTCAGGCAGTCCTATAAGATCAATCTTCTATTTTATCCTTTGCCTTTCTGGATTGATTTGTTATAAATATTTGTATAATTGAGTGAATTTTGATTACACGTAGTTTAATTTCCCTTCTAAAACTAAAACAATCCAGATCAGCTATTTCAAGTGTTAGGTTGCCTCAGTTTTCTGGCAACTTAAAATGTAAACTATTACGTACTTTTATAGCCTTACTAAATATTTAAGGTAAATTAGTGAAGTGACTCACTTAATTTAATTTCAAACTTTGTGTTTAGTGGGGTGTTTTTGGTTTTGTTTTAATCATCAGGGATATCCTGATACATTTTTCATGAAACTAATTTCTCTCACTCTCTTTTTTTTAGCTTCAGCTTTAGCTGCAGCTGCCTCTGTTCAACCTCTTGCAACACAGTGTTTCCAACTCTCTAACATGTTTAACCCTCAAACGTAAGTAATAATATATGTTTTTTTAGGGTATCAAATATTTATGGAGCATGTGATTTAACATTCTCTTTTAAAGTACTCTGTATTTGAAACAGTTTCTTTTGGCTCTTTGTTTTTAAGGACACAAATATTTTTTAGTTTGAGTTTATGATGCTAATTTAAAAAAAGTGACATTTAAATCTTAATCCAATCCAATATTAAGAAATATTTGTAAGTAATAATACTTCGGTCAGTTAAAAAATGTGTACATTTGACTTGAACATTTGAATTCGTTGGGTTCACTTAGCATGGATGTTTTTGAATAAATACTGGAAAAAATTTTTTTAAAAAACATCTGTACCTTAATTGTAAGAATTACAGTATATCATACATATAACTTACAAAATATGTGTTGACTGTTTAGGTTATCAAGGTTTCCAGTCAGAAGTAGGTGATTTGAGTGAAAAGTTGTCACAGATTTTTGACTGTGTTGGGAGGGGTAGGGGTAGTCCCAGTAGTTTCCACTCCCCACCCTAACACATGTTCAAGGGTCATCTGTATTATAAAAGCTTTAGTACTATTTTCTGAAGTAACATTTAGGATGTTTCAGTATTTATTTCACAGTTCAAACAATGCAACAATTTAGATCCTTTTAGTGTAATAATTTTTATGTACATAACTAATCCCTTTGGATGTGTTTGAAAGATTGGAATTGAAAACTATGCAGGTGTTTTCCATCTATATCTAAGTTTAATATGAAGTTTCTATCAATATTTCATTCTTGGTTTTGAGATTTTTAAGCTTATTTCAGTCCAATAGCAGAAAAGCACCTTTTAAAATTTTCTTTGGATAAGTGTTTGCTATGAATTAGGAATCTTTGTTTCCTACATATGAGTGATTAGAATGACATTTTAATCAGTCCAAATTCTGTTTATTACTCTTACAAATCATGTTCATTATATATTCCAATGTAAATCTAGGTTTTTGTGTTCAGTTGACTTGATACATTTATATTTGATAAAACACCATGTTTTATATAGTAACCTTAATGATTTGTAACATTCTATTTGTATTATTAGTCCTGGTTTACCATAGAAGGAGCTTTGGATTCTTTACATTCGTTAATGCTAATTTTAAAAAAAAATTTTAGCTTTATCTATGAAATGGCAGTAAATTGTTGGTCTAAGTATCATTTGAAAAAGGTGTCAGTAAACCATTTAAATGGTAATTCAGAGTTTACAAAATTCATATGGTTGATTGTTAACTCTTTTATCTTTTGATTTCCTCCAGTGCCCTACACATATCAATGATTTCCTAAATTAGTGTGTATTTAAAATATATGTGTAACATCCAGAAAGTGAATAGGGTCTAATAGAGATCAATTCTTTGTTACAGAGAAGAAGAAGTTGGTTGGGATACAGAGATTAAGGATGATGTGATTGAAGAATGTAATAAACATGGAGGAGTTATTCATATTTATGTTGACAAAAATTCAGCTCAGGTATTTTGATTTTTTTATTAAAAGTAGGACATTGTCTCTTTAGTGTCTTAATCCTCACATATATTTGGGGCGTAAATTATCACTTTTTCCTTAGTGTTCTCCCATTCCCCCACCTCTTAAATAAGTTTTAACGCATTGAGTAAACGTCTTTCAAAGATGTTAAAATATTTGAAGATTAGACCTAGCTATCATGTAGCAGTGCTGTTGGTTAGTATTCAAAAGTTGCCATGGTATTCTGGCATCTTGATTGATTCTTTAGCAGCTTTCAGATCGTAAGAGACACACAGATCAAGTCTGCAAGGGTGGCGGGTAAACCATTTTCATTAAAATTTTAGGTGTATGTATTAGCTAGTGAAACAATTATGTGGTTATAGGGCACTAAGTTTTTCTACAGGTAACTTGAACAAACTGGTTTGAATCCATGTCGTATATATCAACACCCTTACCTTTATTTTACTGTATTTTAGGGCAATGTGTATGTGAAGTGCCCATCTATTGCTGCAGCCATTGCTGCCGTCAATGCACTGCATGGCAGGTGGTTTGCTGGTGAGTTTGCATCCTTTTTTCCAGAGTGCTTGTTAATAGGGTCTAATACAAGTTACAATGCTAAACCACTGTTATCTGTTTTTTTCAACAGGTAAAATGATAACAGCAGCATATGTACCTCTTCCAACTTATCACAACCTCTTTCCTGATTCTATGACAGCAACACAACTACTGGTTCCAAGTAGACGATGAAGGAAAATATAGTCCCTTATGTACATAGCTTTTTTTTTCTTGAGAATTCATCCTGAGTTATCTTTTATTTAGATAAAAATAAAGAGGCAAGGGTCTACTGTCATTTGTATACGATTCCTGTTACCTTGAAAAAATAAAAATGTTAACAGGAATGCAGTGTGCTCATTCTCCCTAACTAGCAAATCCCACTGTATACAAAGCTGTTCTCTTGTTCTGCCTTTTAAATGTACATGTAGAAAATTACATTAAGGATCTGTAGAAATAGCTCTTAGAGGAACAAATGTGCTTAATGTAAAAAGGCAGACTGGGATGTAATGATGTTTTTAATGTTTCAGAAGCCTAACTTTTTACAAAACAGTTGTTTCACATTTCACTAATGTTGCTATTGGCTAATGATTTAGGAGAGATTTCTGGAATACACATTTACTGTAAATGTGTATGGAAATTCAGGACAGCTAAAGGGCTGTTGGATTAACATCTCATCTTGCATTTTGAGCAATTGGCAAGAAAAGAAAATTTCATAATTACATTTCTGGATGGTATGTTTTCATTAATGTATCTGTAAAACTTTCTCTGTAAATATTACGTGTTCTGGTGTGTCCAAGATTCCAAACAAAATGATCCCTGCATTTCCTCAAGAAGTTTAGTGACAGTCTGGTAAGCAAAGCAGTCTGAGCAAGAAATAGGAAATGCAGAAATAGGTTTTGTCTGATTGCATATAATCTTTGCTCTTTTTAAGCTCTGTGAGCTCTGAAATATATTTTTGGGTTACTTCAGTGTGTTTGACAAGACAGCTTGATATTTCTATCAAATGACTTTCATATTGCAACAATCTTTGTAAGAACCACTCAAATAAAATTCTCTTAAAAAGGCCACAAGAAATCTTCATTTTTGAAATGTTTTAAAGTCATAGAAACTTGAATAGAGTATTAGTTTCTTTGACTTAGTTTACTCGGTCTTTGCTTTAGGAAAATACTTAGTGTACACAGTCTAGGCAAACTTTTGTCCTTAAGTTGTTCCTGTACATCTTTCTATATCAACATTTAAGTACTGTTTTACTTAGTTAGGGTAATGTATCAAAAATGGCTTACCAAGAGAGAAATTTGCCAGGGCTTAAACATAGACCTTTTTAAGCATTGTTTTCTAGGCATCTTTGTGAAAAAATACTTCAGTATTTAAAAGTAAATATTGGATAATGGGAAGTAAGTTCAAACTGGTTTCCAAATTAAAGAAATTTTAGCTTTAACTACTTGGATAATGAGCCTCCATTTGTATTCTGAACTCTTCTTTGAGTATCTAGATTGAACCTTTAATGTTGCCCCTAATGGAGTGATTATCTTCCAATACTGATTTCCTCACCTTTTTGTTTCTACTGTACTGATTTGTTAGCATTGAGGAACAACCTTACAGGTTTATTCAGATACCAAGGTAATTTGTAATCAGTTTGGATTTGGAAGTATAATTTTCTACCAACCGTTTTGAGTGGATATTTGTAATTGCTTCAGTAATTTAAGCTGAAGAGAATCAAGATTCAAGTTAACTTTTTTTTTTTTTTAACACCAGACAGCAGTGTTTTTTGGAGGACAACTTTGTGCTGTCAACCCTCCCCCGCACCCCTCTGCCTCACCAGTATCTCAAGTCTACCTAAACTTTTTATTCTTGAATTGTGTCTTGGTTACAAAATTCCTTTCCAAGGAACTGGGCCAGCAAATTTAGGTATTTAATTTCATGTTAGAGGTAGCAAATACTTGTCTACCACCAGAGATTGAAATCTGGGTTGTAAATGATATTTAAAGCAGATGTGGTAATTTAGTAATTCAAATAATGTGATGCCTAGAAAATAGTTGAAATGGCCATTCTGAGAGAAATCTCAGCATCCCATTCTTTGGGAAATCAATAGGTCTTTTGGTAGTTTCCTTGATTTCAGCTTCATTTGTCCTTCTGTCCTCCAAATACGTTTCATACATTTTTACTGCAATACTACCACTTCTCCAGTTAATTATACCACTTTCCTAGACTGACGGATAATTGAAAGTGCAGTTTGGAACAAAATCTACCAAGGGTTCTGTGGTCTGAGCAGTTCAGGGGCACTTGCCTCACTCCTAGGAACCTACCTTTGTATACAATCCAGTTAATAGAATTTTGTGGGGAATGTGTCAGGTTATGCAATTGATATCCTTATTGATAGAAATGGGATTTATGCAGTTGAGAAATTAAGAAAAGTGAGTTTTGAGTTTGTTTCATGGTTCCTTTTTCTAATTAAGCCAGCAATTATAATAGCTATCCTCTGTCCAAAGGATAATTTTTGGATGAACAACATGGCATTGCAAATAAGACTGAATTGGGTTAGAACTCCCTTGTGAAGTGCGACCTTGAGGAAATTTGGACCTCTTAGTTTTTCAGAAACCTTAAATGGTGGTAATAACATCAATCTTAAATGATTTAATAGGTTTATCAGAATATGGAAATTTCTAGGCATGCAACATTTTTCTATTAACAGACCTTGTGAAACAGACTTTGTATTAACAGACCTATACTGAAGTCTACCACATTAGATCCCCTAACCAAGCTGGGTAAATAAAACAAAAAAAATACCTCTAACACTCAGATTACTCAAAGACTTTGTTTTTATTATATATAGTACACGGTTTTTTTTAAAGGGTTGTTACTGATCGGTGGGGAACATGTATTGGGCAACCACTGCCATGATTAGCATCGGATGCCCATCCCGATGGCCATGAATGTGCCAAAGGTGCCGCCACTCTGCATCATGGTTTTCCCGATGCTGCCCATCAGCTCCCGACCCCGCATTCCAATCCTGAGAGGAGGAAACCAAGATGTGGCCAATTCGGAACAAAAATACAGGAAAGTGTTAACTGCCCCTTTTTAATGTGTACCACTAATGATGAATCAAGCACTCTTGAGAACTGGCAGATTACCTCTCTTCACCTGTCCGTAGGTAATGACAAGGTAAATGGACCCGGTCAGGATCTCTGGGGAATTTGATGAATAAATCAACTCGACCTTTTGTTTACCACAAGCAGCAAATGCAGTATAAAGTACATGGGCGGAAGTCAGTTTTTTGGGGTTGGTTTTACCTCTGGAATGTATATGATCTCATAAAGGCTTTGTTCTTTAGCCTGTTTCGACCGGAGTCAGTCCTGGGTTCAAGGCCCAGGTCTGCAATTTATAGGCTGGCTGTCTCAGGTGTAAAATGGGGATCGTGACATTCATGGGATTGCTGTGATAACAGCATCTAGCATAGTGAGTAACAGTAAATGCTCAATAAATGGTAATTTACAATAAAATGGGAATAATAGTCACTATTACATGTGAAAACATTTAGGGTGTAGATATCTCTTTCATTTCTACTTCCCGTTCCCAGTACGGTAAAATTGCTCAAGTTTTGTTTCCCTGTGCACAATTGGAAATAACAGTAGCGATAGTAATAATAACCATTAACTGAGCACTTACTGTGTGCCAGATTCTCTGATAAGTGTGCTTTTGATTTGATCCTTATAACTCGGGTAGACAGTACTGATCTCATTTTACACTTGAGGAAACCCAGGCTCCAATTTGCCTGAAGTTACAGAACGAATAAGGGCCAGGAAGCAGTCTGAATCAAGAGTTCATTGTCAAACACTGAGGCTTCCAACCTGTTTCAGGTTTAAGGTGGAGGAGAATCAGTCTCGCTGGTTAGAGGGCTGCAAGGGAATTGGAATGAAATAGACTATTCAGGAGTGGAGTGGGGCGAAATGATCCGGTAGTCCTGCCCAGAGACCACAGCCCGCGCCCCTCACCTGAGACAGGAAAAGGTGCCGAAGAGCGCCCCGGCCGCCATGCCCACGGCACAGCCCATCACAAAGCCCATCTTCATGCGGTCGAAGCAGCTTGGCTGGGACTGCCCGTAGGGACCCACGGCCATCGGCATCTGCGGAGTTCGCGGGTTAGGGAAGTGCAGGCCTAGCCGCCAGCCCGAGAGTCGAGCGGAAGTCGGAGGAGGAGGGATGGGGAGCGGGCCCAAGGGTTCGGGGAAGTCCAGGAAGGAAAATAAGCGCATAGCCCAACCTTCACCCTCCTTGTGTTCGGGTCCCTGCACCTCGGAGCCCCCACCTCACCTCGCTCGCGGCCTCGGTCGCCCAGATCTACGTCTACACAGAATACGAGGCGGAGTGCGCTTGCGGCTCTAGGAATAGCTTCCGGGGCGCGGAGCCGTACTTCCGGGAGCCGGTTGAGCGCTGCAGGTTCTTCGGTCTGGGGGTTTCTAGCATCAGCCATGCTACTGCGAATCGCTTGGAGGCGGGCGGCCGCGGTCTTGCCCGCCGCTCCCGGGAGGAGGTCCGAGGCTCCCACTCGGGGGCTGCGCCTGCGCGGTACGCTCCGGGCTGCGGTTGCTGCCAGTCTCTCTCTCTCGAGGCCCGGACATTTCTTCTAGACGCGGCGACGTACCTGAATATTCTAGAGCCTACCTTTTCCTCCCGCTACCCGGACCCTCTGACCCTTCCTCTTGGCCGGATCCCTCACACTTTCTCAGGCTCGCCCTCGGAACCGTTGACTTCGCCGTGCCCTTCCATCAGATCCTGCCCCGCAGGCCCTCAGAGCCTTTAAGACTTGGCCTCCAGACCTCTCCTGGCCAACTTTTAGAGATGGTAGTCTTTCAGACAGTAATCTTTGAAGGAGACCCTACTGACCCTATTTTCACAGTCCTGAATGGCTATGTCCTTTCAGACCCCTCCCCACTCTGAACGAGCGCAATTTGAATATTGTTCAACATCCTCCTCCAAGAACCCTGTCTGTTCCTTACCTCCTTTTACAGTTTACTCAAGTTCTCTTGTTTTGTTTCCTTTTTCATTGAGATTCTACCCCAGCATGTCTTAACCTTACCTCACTTACATCCAGCTTTTACCTTCTGTCTTGGATGCCCTATGTCCACTGTTGTTGCATCCTCTCTCACTTGGCGACTCCGTTCCATTTTTTTTTGTCAGCTGTAGGCCATGCTCCCCAGTCTGCTGTTCCCTCAGATACAGCCCCTGCTCCGGAGGCCGAGTCAGTACTGAGACCTCTGTATATGGATGTGCAAGCTACGACTCCTCTGGTAAGGAAGGAGGGGCAGCTTTCTCCAAGGCTGTTTAAAGCAGTTACATTGTAGAAGTGACAATGCACAGAAATGGCTGGCTCCTTGTAGAAATGAGACTCATTGAGAAATGTATACTGGGAAAAACAGTGAGCCAGCAATCAGGAGGCTTAAGTTGTAATCCACTAGAAAAAGCTCTACACTTACTAGCTATTGATCTTGGTCAGATCACTTCAGTCATCTATAGTTGATCTGTATATACCCACTATAGTAGTACTAAAAAGCATAGGTTCTAGAATTGCTACTTACTGTATGAATTTGGGTAAGTAAGTGGGCTAAAAAGCAGAGCAGCCCTTAGAGCCTGGCACATGATAAGCAATTGAATATTAATGCAGGGCCTCACCAACATGTGCCATGTCCTGGCTCCTTGTAGATCACATTGTCTGGCAGGAATGGAAACACATGCAGAAATGGTTGTCAGAGCAAGGCAGTGTCGGTAGATTAGCTGAGAAGATGGTAGCGTAAACTGATTTAAGATGGGTTTGGAGTAGGCATATATTAGGCTGATACTTGATTAGTACCTTAGGGGATGGAAGAATGTTTGAGGCCTAATGTGGGCAGTGTCTGAAGTGTTGGGAGTGTGTTGAGGTATGTTGGGCAGCTCTGAAAGGGTGGAGTGTGACCTCAGTTAACTATGGCCTCAAAAATACTTGTCTGTTGTGTTGTGCTTAGGACCCTCGGGTGCTGGATGCCATGCTCCCTTACCTAGTCAACTACTATGGGAACCCACACTCCCGGACACATGCTTATGGCTGGGAGAGTGAGGCAGCCATGGAATGTGCTCGCAAGGTTAGTATAGTGGCCTAGGAGGTTCTGTGTCAGAGGTTCAGTGGACTGTGGGAGGCATTTCCTTCTTGGTAATTGTGGGTGGAGGTAGAAATGGTGTGGAGCTCTTTGAGGAAGAGATTCAGAGAGTAGGCTGTGGAGTCCCTCTGAAGGCATTTGATTAGTTCCCACATTTCATAGCTAAATGATGTTGGGCAGGTAATCTAACTTCTCAAAGCCTCAATTTACTCACATTGAAAATGGAGACTTAATAGTCTACTCCTTAAGAGTTATTGGGTGGATTAAATGATACAATGCTGGTGAAGTATTTATTAACACAAATTTAAAAATAAGTGCTCTTAAAAATTATTAATAGTAGTATTAGTATTAGTGTTAGTATTTTGTATCAGGCTAACAAAGAACCTGGGATCTGGGATGTAACTGGGATGGATCTATCCCTTGTCTGACCCTAGAGGGTACAGATCTTTTTCCTGGGCAATTGGTAGGATGCAGTAGAGCTCTTCTTGCTCCAGAGCTCTGTCCCAGCTCTGTCTACAGCTGCTTTCCTGCTTGGGGAACTGATGTTACTTATCTTGTTTCTTGGCTTGCAGCAAGTAGCATCTCTGATTGGGGCTGATCCTCGTGAGATTGTTTTCACTAGTGGTGCTACAGAATCAAACAACATAGCAATTAAGGTAAGACAAGGCAACCAGAGGGAATATCTAGGCTTTACTGACTTGGGAAATGGTGTCCCTCCATCATTTTGGCTCATATATGTACTTCCTAGCTACCCACTCCCACCCTATTGAAGAAAAGATACAAACATACACTTTTTCTGATTTGTTGCTGCCTTCAAGTCTTTGCAATCCACTCTATCTTAAATCTTTGCTCCTGTTGAACTGAGTTAAGTGAAATAATTGGATAGGAAAGGAGGTGGCTCTTGGACCATCAACCACTTGGTATGGTGGATGGCAGCTTCTTCACAGAGTGAATAGTGGTGACTTAACCCTCTTATCATCCTTTTGATATAGTCACAATGAAATCCAGAATACATTTGTAACTGGGCATGTTTCTCTGTCTCTTGTTACTGGCTTCACTCTTCAAACGTTTGATTTCAGAGCTGCCTTCCTCTCAGCCTTCCCTTTTCTTTCTGCTGTGATCTGTTTGAAACAAGTTCCTTCTGTTTGTCTTAATATCCACATTTTGAAATACTGGTTGCTCTGGTGCCCTCTGTAGGCATTCACTTGATCACCCATTCTGAGGTCAGTTAATGTATACTTGGGACCTACAAATCTTTGGTACTAACAAAAGTAAAATTCTACTCTCAGTAGTCATGTTGGTGTTTCATAGAACATAATCATATTTTTCTGGGCCTGGTTGCCAAGATCACTTGTGTAAATATCAAGGCTCTGACAAATTGTGGGCTACTGAAGTTTCAACTCTGGCACCCCCTCTAACAATTGTCTCTCAACTATGCTACCAGTATTGGTTTTTCTAACTTTGAACTGAGAATAGAGGGCCTGGGATGGGCTCCAGAGTCATCAGCACTCTGAACTATTCCTAGCAGGAAGTCCTTCCTTTGGACTACAGAGACCAGTATAGAGGTCTCTCCAAAGATGAGGATGATTCCTAGATTGGGGAGCACTTCCAAAGCTTTGAAAATATTTGCTCTGAGAGTTTCTACACATCCCAAACCTAAAGGTTAAGGATTGCTAAGAAGAGTTGTGACAATTTTCTGGATGGGTAAATATCTATCTGCTATTAGAGGCTTCAAAACTGGAAAACTGAGATAAAGAGAGTGGGGTTGGAGACAGAGGGAATTTTTAGGTATTTTTCTTTTTATGTTCCTTATCCTCGGGAACATAACAGTTTTTATGTAGTTTAAGTTTGATCTTTTAAGTTTTATATTCTGCTTTTGAAGTAATACTCTGTTATAAGCTCTGAGGGGGATGGGGTTGCACATTTTACTGTCTTAAAATTTTTTTTAAGTAATTCATGTATATGTGATAAGATTTTTTTAACTCTGTAGAGAGGTTTAAAATAAAGTATAAATCTTCCTCTTCTTCCTCCCCTATTCTGACCCCAAGTCCTGTTCCACAAAGTTAACTCTGTTAATTCTGAACTAATTCTATTTAGCATTGTTCCAGAAAAAAAATTATACATAAATATGAATTTGCTTTTAATATTTTCACAAATTGTAGCATGCCATATTTTTCTTCTGTAACCTATGTTCTTCCTATGTTCTTCCATTTCAAATTCCACAATTTTTAGTATAACAACATTCTTTTTCATGGAGTTACGTTATCACAATTTTCTGTTCATTTCTCTCTTGTTGGATGTATTTTTTTTTTAAAGATTGTAAGTGTAACTAAAGTATATTGTGTCTTTATAGCTTGATGTGTCTTTTGACATACTTTCCTAAGGTAAATTCCCAAAAGACTAATCACAGTGAAAGAGTGTGACTACTGCTTTCAAGACATCCTTCTAAATAATTCTCTGAAGAGATTATAGCAAAAATACTGCTGTCAGCAAGGAATGAGTGTATGGGTCTCTACTACCCTGTCACCTTTGGAATAACCATGTTTGTATGTTTTTTGCTATTTAAATAGAAATAAAAAGAGAAGTTTTTTCCTGAGATGCAAGGATAGTCATGTTCCCCATTTTCTACATATTATATAATAAAAAATATATGATTTTGTCCTTTGATCCTGACAGAGAGCTTCAAAACCCCTTGGACTTTCCTGAATGATAGGAATATCTTTTGTTATTCATAACAAGCCCCTTTGGACCTTACCTGAATTTATGGTAACGAAGTGGCTCACCATGGGCCTTTAGTTTCAGGGAAAAGCCTGGCCACCCCAGGAAGACCAAGCATGTGATTAGAGGATTGGAACTTTCAGTACCTCTTCCCTCTGGGGAGGAAATGGGGCATGTGAGTTAACTGGGTGGCCAAAAATTTAATCAGTTATGCCTACATGATGGAACCTCCATAAAAACTCTGGACAGCAAGGCTCAGAGTAGCTGCCAGGTTGGTGAACTCATGGATGTGCTATGAAGGTGGCAAGCCTAGAATCATCAGGAGGTTATGGAAGATCTGTGCTCTTCCCCACTCCAGAACTTGCTCTATGAATCTCTTCCATTCGGCTGTTCCTGAGTTGTATCCTTTATAATAAAACTAGTAGTAAGTTACAGTGCTTCAAATGGGTTTTGTGAGTCATTCTAGTGAATTACTGAACCCAAGAGGGGTGTGGGAAGCCCTGAATTTGTAGCCATGTGGGCAGAACTACCAGTGGGTGGCTAGTGACATCAAGGCCTTACAGCTGGCATCTAAAGTGGGCATAATCTTGTGGAACTGAGCCC